GTGTTACACTTGAACTGCACTGCTCTTAGCCAATCAGAATCGAGTAATTTTTTCATGTGTATTATTATCCTACATAGTATATTATCTTTTGACATCATCTGATCTCATCAAGACTTCATTTCCAAATTAAATATTTTGTGTTTACCCTGGTGTTTGTATCACTCTAAGCCGTTTTTAAGCCATGTGTGTTTTTACATTTAGAAAATTACTACCTCGCTTCAGAAAATACAAAGGAGTATTTTTATTTACATTAAGGTGGCTGAATGCAGTTTTTGATACCACTGTTTCATTTACCTTTTTCTCTAAAACCCTTGATCCCTCAGTCGTCAAAAATGGCAGCAAGCAAGTTAACAACACAAACTTTGGTTTTTTGATGGTTAAGCTGACGTATGTGCTGTTACCATGGCAACATGAAGAAATATAAACAAGCCTTTACAATCGGTTTTGTTTATTTGTAGAAAATCTAGTCATTAGATATTTTTTCAAAACTTGCATGCAACAAGCTTGTAACAATTCTCACAAGTTGCCACCATTTTGCTAATTTAACAGAGAGATCTTTAATTGAATGGCTTGGTGCAAGACTGACGTAAGTGACTTTTTCGGGTGAAATTTTTTTTTTCTTCAAAAGTGCCTGAATTGTTGCATGTGCTTTTCAATTTAGTAGTAAAACATACCCCTGTATTTTTTTTTGGCCGTTTTGCGCTTTGTTTCTGAGAAAAACGAGGACAAAATATCGAAGCGTGTACAATGACCGCAACGAGGCGGAACAAGAGAAAACAATTATTTAAATTTTCAATACAGTTGTTAGTTCGTGTTGACGTGGTGCAAGTGATAAATGCACGTGTACGTGATGGATAATTTTCTTAGAGTGTCGGTTCAAATCCCGAATTTTTCCTCTGGTTTTTTTTCTTTTTCCTCCGTTTGCTCTTCTTTTGAATTTCTTTTTGTTAACAAGAAAAACCTATTGTTGATTTCAGCCGCCGAACAACGCTGGTCAGATCCGCTGGTTCAACACTGGCTTCGACATTTCTCCTTCGCTTGACAACCCGTCTTGGACGGCTGTTTTTCTTAAATTGATTGAAACGATTTGCTGCAAATTGTTGCTCTGGTTCGTCATCAAGCTTTGTTTGAAACGATC